CACACGTTTTAATCGCGGGTGCTTGTATACACTGAAAGGGCACACGACCATTAGAACCAGCAACGCCCCATTATCCCAAAGAGGCCTCTCAAAACTCTGGCAGGACGCCAGAATGGCAACTGCTGACAGAGACAGAACGAGCTTGAATTGAAACAAGCACAGCGCAACGGAAGTCAAAGAAAGCCGCATCTCTTGACGTATAGTTTCACACTCAGTCGCACAAGCCGCCAGTGCACCCCACGTCCTCGCTGCCACTTGTTTCGTCTTTTCAGACGTAAAATATGGCATCTCATCTTCCGGCGACAGCCACGCAGACAAGTGCAGTATGGAACAAGCAGATAACTAACTAATCATCATTACGTACTCTTTCCCGCATATTACTGCGTGTATTTGCATGATCGATCGGTTGCTGGAAGGCGTCACATTTGCTTTTACGAAGCGTTCGCTTTGCCGGCTGACCAAACCAGGATGCCTGCCGATCAGCCGCGGCTCTGCTAGCTAAAAAAAATAGCAGCAGAAGAAATGAATGTGCGAACACAAGCGCATGCCAAATTTCCTTTTTCTGGTATTCATCCACCATGTGAATACGCGCATACCGTCCACAACATTTCGCTATGTCGCGTTTCCTAACTAAGCCGTCATGCAACCACGCAATGACCTGTTTCATTTTTTTCTTTCTTCACCCACTCCCCTTCCCCAGTGCGGGGTAGCCTACCGGGGCTTAGCCCTGGTTAACCTCCTTACCTTTCTCCTTATTCTCTCTCTCTCCTCACAGCAGCACAGACGCGTAAACTTCGAGGGGATATGAAGAGCTCTATTCACCGCAAGAGATGGCATCTCTCATCTGAGTGGGTCCTGGTGTGCATCTTCATTACCACTTATTGCTGCTGTGTCCTGTTTATAGCAAGGAATAGCTCTCCACTTTGATGCCACGCACATACTCTTGGCTCAATATTCGGGATTGCAGGCGGTATTGAAAAAAAAGGGGCTATGTTCACGCAAACCTTCACTAACGTGGACCAGGTCCGACGAGCTTCCTTTCTATGCCGAATACACGCTAGTGTCGACCTCAACACGAGTGCCTTTTTCTTTTCTTGCAGGCTGCCTGTACTCAATGTGGGTGCAGTAAAGGTAGGTTAGTACCAACTATTTTCAGTGTATCATTTGTTCCTTCTGTTTGTATTATACGTGAAGCTTCCTGAAGGAAGCGCGCATAGGATGCCTCACGCAAGATGTGTTCGTTAAGAAGCGCTCTTCCTTGCACTGAGCAGCGTAAATAAGAAAAGGGGAAGAAGAAAACGCCGATAATATCCCGGCATGGGCGCTTCGTTGAAGAAACAAAAATAAACACGAAGCTTCTCATCTCAGAATCAAACAACGACACCCGAGGCACAAGTTTGTGTGTGCGCGCTCGTGTGTACGCGCTCAATGCGGGACACCGTCCAGCTATGAGAGCGGCAGCAAATGGCGAGCACCTTTTTACGATCGCCCCGGTCAGCGCCGGCCAGCTTTGTCCCTCGTTTACGACTCGAAGATCGGCGCCGCAGCATCACGAGAATCTCTACCGCAGCTGGCCTGCGTGTATACCACGCGGTTACGCGAGCGCGACTGCTCCTGCAGCCAAGGCGACGTAATGGCGGAAGGAAACCTTCGCTCCATATAGTGGTTGCCCTCTGCAGCCCTCTTGACCAGTGTATACATCATTGCGGACTGCCCTCGTTCTTTTGTCTTGCCGGAAAACTCGGAACTTTTTTTGAAGTTTTGAAGTTTATTTTATTTCTTTCTGATACAGAAAGAGAAGTAAGAGCTAAAGGCCGTATTGCCTGACACAGGCTCCCACTCCCATGCGCATTCGGCATGCGTGTACATGATTGCATGCGATGCGAGTATACAAACAATAGAACAACCAGAAAAATCAAAACATGCATGCACATAATTGTCACTGCAAATAAAGCACTTTCTTGTCCGAAGTCACACTTTCTTGTCCGAAGTCGGCTCGCACAAAATTGCCACCGCTTCTCTGCCCTCTGCCAGTATACCTATAGTAGTCAACGTTACCGGTCCGAGATGCTCTCCACGCTTTTGCATGAAACGAGCTACGTGGCTGGCACGAGAGACCGTAAGCGCAATTTCTGTCTGCAGTGACCGAAGGTCGTACTTCGCTCGGAAATGCTTGTGCTCCGTTTCAAAACAGCACGGTAGGCCCGCACTCCCTCAGTTGGAGACTCATTTTTTTTTCGCAGTATGAGCCCAGCGTTTCACCCCGTTTGAACGCAGTTTTTTTGAATGGCATGCAGTTTAAAATGCAACGTTGCCATCCAGAATGCCAGCCTTATCCAGTCAGAGGAATGGCATGCGCAGTGGTATGTTCATCAGGGTTAGAGAACGGTGTGTGTGTGTGTGTGTGTGCGCGTGTGCGCGTGTGCGCGCGCGCGCGCGCGCGTGTGTGTGTGTGTGTGTGTGTGTGTGTGTGTGTGTGTGTGTGTGTGTGTGTTTTTACGGTATTTGAGCGAACGAGTTATTTTTGGCCGGTGTTATTTATTGGTAGTAGTCGCGGTTCTGACAGGAGGTTTTAAAGAAGTAGAATACGGAGAGTATAATTTGTAACCAAAACCCTCTAGTGGGGTCAGATGAAGGTGAACTCATTTGTCTGCTTTCTAATGTTTCGTTTGGTTCTCTTGAAACAAGTTTATACGTCAAGGCCGGGCTTGCTGTGAGTTTGTTTACTGAATTTATCCTCTCCAAACAAACGCAGGATACCATGTTTACCCAGGAAGCGGGGTCCTCTCATGGCAGCCTGTCACTCAACTCTCAACATGCGAGCCAGGTTCTTGGCTTTTCAGCTCCTTATTTCATCCTGAAGATGAACCACCTCCCCTAACTTCAGTGCTTGATGAAGTAGAAACGATGCAAGCTACACGAGGACCCAGCCTAGCAAAATTTCTAGCTCTTCATGAGCGCCGCACACACAAAGCACGGCGAAGCCTGTTGCGCGTGAAAAACTGTATACCCGAGACAAGCAGTTCGTTGTGAGTTAAATATCATCTATTCCGTGACCGAAAAATTCAAGAAAAATTTAAATACAATAAATGACCCAAAATTTTGGGCCTGGGCGAGGATCGAACCAACAGCGTCTGCGGGGCAATTAGGTGTTCTACCACAGGGCCACCATATTTGTTGAAACTGCTTCAGAAAGAAACGCTATATGAATGTCATGTAGTTGAAGGAATCTCCTTAACACATCACGTAATGCGTGGTAGAACAGTAGAATCGCGCCAGGCGTAGAAAGATCTGACTTGAGCAGTGAGTGTGCGCTCTAAAGGTCCACCTATTACAAAGCGCTCAGACACATCTAATCATAATGAGCAGCAGAACCGTCAACAAAGTTAACAGCTGCGTAGGTTCGCGTGTTACTCTCCGGACGCGTCATGGGCTCAGCGCTAATTCACAAAAAAAAATAATAACTATGTCATGGTTGGCAAGTAAACACTGTGTTTGCAGTAGGCATTCGGTTATACTTGAAAAACGGGCATTGTTACGTGCACGGTCATTCGTTTTCTAACGGCACACTTGAGGCGTGCACCGAAAACCGAAGCAGGCAAGCAGATCCGAAAGGGATGCTCACGAGGCTCGATTACGCTATCGCGATCTGTATAGTCTCGACGATGACGCTCAAGCGTCCTTCAATTTTCGTTTACAGTTTTAGACCGAAGCTACACCCCTGATCACGTAGAAGATAAACAATGCGAGATTCACTTGTATTTGGACAGCACTACGAGAAGATGGACCACTCCAAACAATTCTTCTGGTAATCGCCGGGCTTCCCCCAATGTTTACACAAAGCGTTTTGCTTCTCTTCCCGCAACTCGCCTTATTTCGTGGCACCTTTGTACGTTACGCGCTGCCATACTCTCCGCGCTATTCAATTTCCAGAAAGTGGCCGGCCACTCACCGCGCCCTGTGCCGGGGGCGCAGCGGTGCGTGGCGTCAAATCAAGCTGCCAGCCCGTCTGTGACCAGCCACTCTTTTGAAGCGGCCGCTCCGCTCGTCACCGCAGTCTCTCCCTTTTCACTCGATACACGGCGCGTCTGGACGGCGCCACCGATTTCCTCGAGCGCGTCAGATTTTTCTTTCAGCCGTGTCTCCAACGAGACTCGGCGGACCCGCGCGGAATAACGGGCTCCTTCCGTCGCCGGCTCCCTTGTGCCTAAAGAGAAACGCAGTCAATATCTGTTTGCGGAGGAGCAAGAGCACGTCTGTGTGTACACGCTCGTGCGGGCCCACGGAACGATGCGAAGCGGCGGCGGTATATAAATAGAGGGGGTGGAGAAGCCAAGTGCCGTTCGAAATGACGACGGCAAAGGAGAATCCACTTTCGCGCAGCTCCAGCACGCAGAAGGTTTTAACGTTTGCGCATGCGCTCTGGCGCGTGCAGTTGCATGACTCGAGTGCAAAGAAAGACCGCTAACGCAAGAGCGATAAAAATTAGTCTGTCAATGAAAAGGTTGTTCTGCCAAAAAGTTCTGGCTCGTCTTCAGGCCTAAAACTTGCTCTAGCCGCTCGACTTGGTTGCTGAAAGCCATACATTGGCAGTATACCAGGTTTGGAGCGTTGATATTTCGCATTGAAATACAAATATAACATACATGGGTAATATTATATTACTTTCAGTAATGAACCATTAAGGAGTGACTGATGAGCATGTCATTCAGATAGTCGCAGTAGAATTTGCGTCAAATGTATAGAATACAGCAAAAAAAAACTGCATGGTGTAAAGAAATAAATCGTAAGAGAAACACAATTTTAAAAACGAATACAACATTGATAAACCTGCATTTTAACAGCCTTTGCTTACAATAGGAGTATTAGAGCCTCGCAGAATAAGGCAACGCATAAATATGACTATAGGCAGATATAAAACACAGGAAGAACAAGACAGGGTACAACTTGCACAAAAAAACATTTGTATGTCATGGATCTCCAAAAAAAAAAACACTTACTCGAAAGTAAGCACCGCAGACAAGCTCTCACCTACGCACACATGGAGAACAACAGAAACAGTGTACGCAGTGGCGGGTATAAACTGGCCTCGTTAGGGCGAGGCGTCTCGGATCTGATGTAGACAGGAGCAGCGCGCATCGGAGCGTCGCTTATCATGTCTAGTACGCACGGTGCTCGACCTCGTAAGCGGCCAAGTACACCGCAGTGCGCCCAAGGTGCGCCTCTTGGTTTCATCGCTGCTGTTGCCTCTTAAGGAGAAGCTTAAAGCATCTTAACAGCGGTTCCACTAGGAGGAACATGCGTTGGCCTGCTCTTTGACAATCCCTTGAGGCGCTTGTCCACGGACAATACGCGGGGGATTTGCATGAGCCTGTTGCTTGGCTGGGCCCACCTCGTTAGCGGTGTCCTATAGCACATCACCATGCTCACACTTCTTGCTTTCTTTCTTTACTGCGATAGCAATTATATGATCACTCTTGGCTGGTTTTTACCGCCGGAATTGACCGTCATTCACCAAACACACACACACACAATATATATATATATATATATATATATATATATATATATATATATATATATATATATATATATATATATATATATTGTGTGTGTGTGTGTGTATGTGTGTGTGAAAACGCAAGAAAGAAAAATAATCCAGAAGAAGACTCCGGCACGTGCAAATCGAACGTCTGGCCTTTCGTACTTGAGCGCGCGGCGTTAGCCACTGAACCACGAAGAAGCACCTTCTTCAACGTTGAAACGGCAAGCTACTTCTATCTACCACTTAGCGCTGGAGGCGCCTATCTCGGGGAAAATAGAGTGTTTGTCAGCATTACCAAAGATGGTGCGATGAGCGCGCTCGGCGTAAAGCTCGGCGCCCAGCTGGTTGCGATGCTCCGAGGCACGCTCATCTCCCACGCGAGCTTCGCGCCGCGGTGGGGGAGGGGCTTTATCCGCGCACTTATCCTGTGGGGAGGGAAAATCGTGTGCCTTCGGCTTTAACCATAATGATTGCGTTTAATTGCCAGGCGCACAAAGATCCCTTCGCTCAATGTACAGGCCCCGTTTGTGAAAAGAGCACGCTTTTCAAACACAACGAACTAACAACTAGGACACTTGTCAGTTTGCAGACATATCTGTACTTGCGATTACGTTTCGTGCATTGTTTTTGTTTAAACAGAGCGCTAAGTGTCGAGCTATAAACGTTTTTTTTTTCGGCCTCGTCGTGTGCGTGATGTTTTCGTGTGTGATTTGTGCGTGAGCAACGCGCTGCACGTTTCGATCTGCTTGCCTTTTTTAGTCCCTTATTCCCCTCTCCTTACTTGTAAGTTAGCAAACTAGACTTAGTCTGGTTAACCTCCTTACCTTTCTTATATTATTTCTATCTCGCTCTCTCTATATCTCTTTCTCTTTCTCTCTAGAGTAATATTTAAACCACACATTCGTTAGCTAGACATCATACGATGACTCCTAGTTACCTTTCCATGTTCTAACATAGGCTCATCTCTACTAAAGAAGCATAATCTGATTGCACTAAGGTGTACGACCTCAGATGATTGCTCGTTACGGTGAGTATGTGCTTCTCGGCACGACCAAGTTCGTCGGGGGCTACTAATCTGACGAAACTGACTCGATTCCTCATTCGTAAAGCACTTGTTGCGTGCTGCTGCTTTCATTTGTTTTTAAGCTTTCCTTCTTTTTTACTTATACTTGGCAAAATATGGGAAGATGGGCTACGTTAGAGCCGGCTATTCCAACATCATGGCAGCAATGTACAACATACACACGAAGATACGAAAAACTTGGAAGAATAAAAGAACAAACAGTCCTTCATTCCTGCTTTCTTTCTTCCAGTCCTCATCGTCCTTACCTCCTACATGGAAACTGATAGGTGTAAAGGAAAGTGTTAGGTGAAACCTTAAGAGACAAGGAGAGAGCAGAGTGGGTCAGGGAACAAACCGAGGTTAAGGGTATCATGGCTGAAGTCAAGAAGAAAAAATGGACATGGGCCGGGCACGTAGCGCGTAGGCAACATAACCCCCGGTCATTAAGGGTTACTGACTGGATTCCCATAGAAGGAAAACGCACGAAGGGGAGACAGAAAGGTAAGTGGGCCTGTGAAATGAAAGGGTTTGCAGGTATAACGTGGCAGCAGCAAGCAGAAGACCGGGTTGATTGGCGGATCATGAGGGAGGCCTTTGCCCTGCAGTGGGCGTAGTACGGCTGAAAATGATGGGTGATAGCAGTTGTCGGCCTCCTTCAGCCCTATTTATTTCTGTCCTTTGTATAGTATGTGTGATTATTATTATTATTATTATTATTATTATTATTATTATTATTGCTTCCTATTGTAGCAATAATAATCGATTGATTAGTTAATACTTCATTTAACGTGCCCTTGAGCAACTATTAGGACTCTGTGCACGCGCATGCAAAATAAAACAATACGAATAAACAATAAAAAAATGAAAGCAATACAATACAGGCATTCTTCATAGAAATCAAATGAAGAGTGAAAATTTAAAGAAAAAAGAAATCAGTGGAAAATGGTGAGAAAAAAAAAACAAGACCAGAATGATGGAATGGGATTGAAAAAATAAAGATAATATACGCAATTATGTAAAAAACTTCCTTAAATACGGAAAAGGGAAGAATCTGTACATTGCGAATATATATGCTAGGACAGGGCTGATCTGAGATGAAAATAATGACAGTTGACTGTGAAAAACATCAAGATCGTGAAAGTTAACATCATATAGACTATGTATTCTGACAACAGTAGAGTGTTCACAGAAGAAGTTAGTAGGCACATGAAATAGGAGATTCTCTCTGGTTAAAATTTTTTGTGAAATCCGAAAATTTACACAACTGAGAAATAAAAATCAGGATAGCGCATACTGTGAACTAATAATAATAATAATAATAATAATAATAATAATAATAATAATAATAATAATAATAATAATAATAATAATAATAATAATAATAATAATAATAATAATAATAATAATAATAATATTATTATTATTATTATTACTATTATTATTATTATTATTATTATTATTATTATTATTATTATTATTATTATTATTATTATTATTATTATTATTATTATTATTCAACGAAGCTACGAGCTGCTTGATCAAGTTCTCACCTTTCAGTTACATGCGGCAGAGGTAGTGGTGGCGACAAAACACATAAAACGGTCGCAATAACTGGCCCTGGTTACACAAAATACAAGCGTATACATAAATCGGAGTAATTTTAGATGGATGCAGTACAGGTTATATACATTTTTGAAATAGAAACAGCAACAAGATCGTCTAGTCCTTATTCTGAAACGGACTTTTTCATTACGATATTATTATATATAGACACATAATCATGAAAACGCATTGAGCTAATCATTTTCGTGTGAGAATGTTTCAGAATATCACGACGCGGGACATCTCATTAGCGAACTGTATGACCATTTGGAAAAGCACATATACGAAAAAGAAGTTATGTGTATTCAGACCCTGCACGTAATCGAGAAAGAAAATATTCATTTTCCCGGCATAGGCCTTGTAGGCTATGGCTAAAAAGTATTGAATACACGTCATTATCATACTGAGTTATTACTCATGTACTAATTAAACTATGGCACCTCATCATATTACGAAAGAGTCGATATCTATTAGCAGCAAAAGGAAGTTGAGCATACCGACAAACGAAGACTCGGAAGAAAATAAACAGAGCAGCACTTTCTTCCCAATATCAACCGTGACGAAGCTCATTTCCCAAAGTTTACATGTGCCGAGTCAAAAGCTGATTTTAGAATCCCGGGGGAGAGTTCGCGTTGCCGCGCAAAGTCAGGCACGCCAGTTCACCTCTGTGCTCGAACTATGTACCACGGCAGGTGCCCGCGAAAGTGGGAATGTTGAGAGCAGCCCTTGGTAGCACGCAGCCAAGGTCGAGACACGCCACTCACCTGGGAAATTTTGGCGCGCAGAACATCCGTCGAGCCTCAAAGCATCTGTGGTTCAACGCTCACGGCACATCTAGTTTCAGGTTTGTTGCTTAGAACGGTATAGATCGTATTCTAGCGAGTTGTTAACACGTAACCCTTACGAAGACCAACACGTACCCAACTTGAAGTTCACTGTTTCCAAGGTCGCGTGCTGTGCGGTGTAGTCGAGACGGGTGTGCAGATAAGCATCATATATCCCTACTTTTCGTTTTTAACAGGTCAGAACAGCTCTACACACAGCGAAGGCGTGTTTTCCTGAACTCCAGTGGCGTAGCCAAGGAGTGGCACTCCGGGCTGATGCCCCCCTCCCCCCCGAATATGGAGGAGGTAAGTTTATTTACAGAAAGGCAGAGAGGTCGACCTGAGCGATAGCTTGCTCTAGCCTGCTACTCTACACTGGGGGAAGGGAAAGGGGAAAAGAAAGATTAGTGGATGACGATGGTGAGATAGAGAGGTGAGTATGTAGTGTCCTTTCTAGCTGAGACACATTTCATAGCCACGCACATAGTCCAGTTGTTTCCAAAAAGGTTATAACTGCTCTAGTGACCGCAGTTGCACTGTTGGTGTCTGGCCAAGGGCCCAACATGGTCTCATCAGTTAATGACCTACTGCTATATAGTTCAGTAGAAGAAATCAGTGTTTGTCGTTCACGTGCGTATGCTGGGCAGACACAAAATATGTGCTCAAGTGTTTCTGGCACATCACAGTGTTCACAATTAGGACCGGTGTCACTGCGACCGATGATATGTGCGTAACGTCTGGTGTACGCTACTCCAAGACGAATGCGGTGGATCATACTTGTGAGTTGCCGTTTCAATTTAGGGGGCTTGCGGAACCTCATTTCCGGGTCCCATTTGTGAAGTCGCTGGTGTCACCGTTCCGGTTTGGTCCAGTGCTGAAGTGTGTAGCTGCGCATCACGCAGCGAAGCAGGGAGTTCGTGTCAGCTCGTGAAAACGCAATGCGTACTTCAGGGGCACTGCTTAAGGCATTTTTTAGCTTCAGCGTCTGCCTCTTCGTTTCCCAGCACACCGCAATGAGCGGGAATCCACTGGAAAGTTATAAGATGACCATTTGTTGAAGCAACCTGAATAAGTTCTGTGATTTCTATTGCCAAGCTGTAATACGGACCTTGCTTCATGATGCAATTAATGCTTGGCAAAGCGGGTTTGGCATCACAGAAAATCGTCCAGGCTCGAGGTCGCTCTCCGGAAATAAATCTTATTGCTTCCCGGATAGCGACAAGCTCTGCGGCGGTTTATGTGGTTTTATTGTCCCCTTTGAATCGTCGAGCGATACCCATGTCTGGGATGACAAAGGCTGCGGCGGAGGGGTTTAGCGTGGTGGATCCGTCGGTGTACACGTGCAGAGAATCACTGTACGTTGTTTAAATGTGATATAGGGTCAGTTGTCTGAGGCCAACAGAAGAAATGAGCGACTTCTTCGTGATTCCAGGTATCGTAAAAGAAACAGGTGGTTTAGGGAGGACCCATGGAGGCACTGCAGGGGAATTCGGCGGAGAAAACCTTGATGGTATAATATTTTCATGCTGCGATATTACTCTCGAGAAACTGCAATCTGGGTGAGTGGCGGGTATTACTGACAGTGGGTGCTGTCTGTGTCTGCTCAGCAATAGGAGGTGAACTCTAAGTGGCTCGCAGAGCATGTATACACTGATGAAACAAGCCCGAGCCTCTGCGATTGTCCCATTTGTTGAAGTACAGCGCAATAGACCCAAGCATCTTCGTAAGCATTAAGCTTGAACACTCTCTAACGTCTTCACACAACTAGGTCTCATATTGGAGAGCACCGGCATGCTGTATCGAATGTACGCCACAAATAGAGCATTGTACAATTGAAGTAGCGATGATTCTGACGGGCCTCCTTGCTCCTGCTACGTGGCGAAGAACTAGAGAAAAGCTCTTCAATTTAGATTTAAGTACTGCGACATGCCTCGTC